AGTCTGAACGGCCAAAGTGCATTCATCCACCTACACGTTATCAACAAGACACAAACGTCACTATTCTGCGCTGAAGTAGGTGAAAAATTGTTAATGAACTCCATGTCACTGAAGTGAAGCACATCACCACTCACCACTCTTGGCTCCGTCTCCACATCCACACGTTCCTTTCAACGGACGTCGCTGCCGCTGTCCCACAAAACACCACGGCCAAAAACCTTCTCCTTCCCAATCTCCATAAAACAAGTAAGTTGTTCATGTGAACTTTAAAATCTCCAGGTGCTCGATGCTGCGTCCATGTTTGGACAACTTCCGTAAACACAGAGCGGTTGACGTCGTCGTGTCTCCAGTGTCACATGTGGGACAGTTTCGGGCCGTTTAATGTTCACACTGGAGTCACATACAAGTCACATTTAATTAGAAATGTGAACGACCTCACAAAAACATCAGATTTCACAAAAAAATCTGAATTGAGCGTTGAGCCCTGCAGTCTGAACATAGCCTTAGGGTGCTTTCACACCGACAGTAGTTGGTGCACACCAAATGGTCCATTCGAACCAAAAACTCTTCGTTCAGTTTGTTTTCATTGGTGTGAAATCTTCAATCGGTCTCGGACCCGCACCAAATCAAGTGGACCGAGAACTCAAAAAAGAGGCGGTCTCGGTTCGCTTGAATCCGCACTAAATGTCAAACTTTGGTGCGGTTCCTCTGGTATGAACACAAACTCTGGTCCAAACCATAGACAGTCCAAACGAAGTACTGAAAAAGCATCATGGGAGGGACACGTGTTTCCTCTGTCTGAAATGACGCGCTCTACAACTCCAGTGTGTTAACAGATTTTTTTCCAGACGCAGCCACGACTAATTTTTTTATTATTTTGCCAACAATGGCCAATACAGAGAATGTAATATACACCATCAGAGCAAGTACCAATGTGACCTGTGGCTGAGTCAAAATTGGGGGTGCGCACCCCTGTTCGGGATCTGCACACACAGAGAGGTCCTGATGTTCCCCGTGTCTTTATTGCTGTTGCTGCTGTTTCCCGAGCTCAGATCTTCTGCTCTGGGCTGATGCGGTGAGTTTGTTCTACATGTTGCTGTTTTCTGAGTTTGTGATGATAAGTTGAGATGAGGACGGCCCGTGGTCTTAACTGGGAACATCAGTATTGGTAATTGGAAACAGAGACACGTCGTCGGACCAGTTTTGGTTGGTTTGCCTGTGTGAGGGCGGACCACACTGGGGTCTATCTGCTACTTAATAACAATTTTATTGTCTGGTGCAGACTAAATAATCAAACTAGCAGTGTGGAAACGCCCTAAATCCCCATCGTCTCCCATCGTGTGTGATGTGTGAGTGTTTCCTTGTTGTAAAACGCTTTGAGCCTTGAAGGTGGAAAACGCTGTATAAAAATGTGACTGTTTACCACTGGCCAAGGACAAAACATTAAACCTGCTGTTTGAATCTGAATGCCAAGAGAATACACTGGTTTAATATGAATACAAAGAGAACACATGTATTTATGCTCTCTTCAAAATCATCAACTCAAATCTGAAATCTGCACCTGTCCTGTCTGTGCACCTGCCCCTGAGACCTGTCCTGGTTTAGACCTGGTTTAACCCTTGGTTAGATCTGGACGAGTCCCACTTTGAACCTGTTTCACTCCTGGTTTAGTCCTGATGTAGACCTGGTTCAGTCTTGGTTTAGTCTTTGTTTTGTCTTTGTTTAGTCCTGGTTTAGTCCAGGTTTAGTGCTGGTTCAGTCCTGGTTTAGTTCTGGTTCAGGCCTGGTTCAATCCTGGTTTAGTCCCTGATTTAGTCCTGATTTAGTCCTGGTTTGGATCTGGTTTACTCCTGCTTTAGTCCTGGTTCAGTCCTGGTTTAGTCCTGGTTTAGTCCTGCTTTAGTTCTGGTTTAGTCTTTGTTTTGTCTTTGTTTAGTCCTGGTTGAGTCTGGGTTTAGTTCTGATTCATTCCTGGTTTAGTCCAGGTTTAGTTCTGGTTCAGTCTTAGTTTAGTCCTGCTTTAGTCCTGGTTTAGTCCTGCTTTAGTCCTGGTTTAGTCCTGCTTTAGTCCTGGTTTAGTCCTGCTTTAGTCCTGCTTTAGTCCTGGTTTAGTCCTGGTTTAGTCCTGGTTTAGTCCTGGTTTAGTCCTGGTTTAGTCCTGGTTTAGTCCTGGTTCAGTCCTGGTTTTAGTGTCTCTGCTCTGCGTCACATCTGCTGTTCACGGAGGCAGAGTTTGAGTGACAGGTGTGTGGTGTAAATTAACCCGGATGCCCTCCCAGAGTGAAGCGTCAGATTAACCCGGATGCCCTCCCAGCGTGTCGCCGTGGAGATGATGTAAACGTGAGGTGACGGGGGGGCAGGGGAGTTAATGGAGAGTCCCTCCGTGTTTCTCGGACGCAGCTCAAACCTTTAGAGCACAGCTTATTTTAGCACCGGGAAATCTGCCTCAAATCTTCCACAGTGGAGCAATAAAGGTGCACTGTGGAACTTTTTTGGTTTGTCTATGGAGATCTCATTGCTCTGCCTGGAATGTTCCACAATGTGACATTAAACAGCTCTACTTTACATTTATTATTTATTATTATAGCTCAAAAATATCTAGAAAAGCAGACATTGTGACTGTGAGCGAGGTCGCCTCTCCACAGATCTGACCTGTCACTTAGTCTGGTTTGGTCTCCATGAAGAAAAGTTACACAATGCATCTTTAAAAGGCCCAATATGATGCTATTTTCTGATCCATGTTCAAATGTAGTTTCCTCATCACACACAGACCTGGAGTTGTGTTTTGTTTCATTCACATGTTCAACACACAAACCTGCACATTTAAGCTCAGTTCTTCTCTCAAAATGACACAGGAAGTGCTCCACTGTGTTTTTAAACTTCACACACCTTCACTAGAATCATTTGGATAAGTTCAAACCTGAAATTACCGATCTCTTCTTCACTAGAGGGGAAAAGGAGCTGTTCACTTGAAAAGTACCATTTCATGACATCACAAAGTGGAACAGAGCATTTTGAGCTTTGGAGATGTAGACAGCAAAAAGTGGAGGGTTTAAAATTTCAGGGTAAAATATTGTTTTTAACACAACATGTGTTATTTTAACTATTTGAAAGTTAAATGGGGGTTGCAGTTGGGGTTATTTGCCAGAGTTGATCTGGTTGAAATTAATTCAACTTCCTCTAGTGTCATTCAGCTTCCCATAGTAATTAATTTGACTCCTCCCACCCACCACCCACCCACTCCCGTGAGAGTCGACCAGCTTGAACCAGTTTTGTTCATAATTTCATCTTAAATTAACTCAAATAAAGTGTCAAAATAAAACACCTCTGTGTGTTGTTTAGCTACATCAGAATAACTCTACAAAGTGTTATCTGTTTTCTCTCAAAACATTAATATAACTCTTGATTTCAGGGTTAAACAGGAACTTTGGTCCAGTCTTACTGAATGAACATTTCCAAAAATGTTAAATGAACTCTAGAACAGATTGGACTCATACAAACCCTGAGAAAAAGTTCCAACTGATTCTGTGAGAGTCAATTTGAATAATGCAGAGTTACTCAGACATGTGAATGAAACAAACACAACTGCAGGTCTGTTTTTGAGGAGGAACAACATTAGAACAGCTCACAAGAGTGCTTTTTGTGTAATGTAGAACCTCAGTTATAGTCTCTGCTTACGTTTACAAAGAAACGAATCACTGTATCAGAAACGATCTGCGTCCAGACACGTCGTTTCTGTGTCTGTAAGTCTTCTCTATCCACACAGCTTTGATCACATTTGTTTACGTTTTACAGAAACAAAACTTAAAACCACATGTTTCATTCATAAACTAAGCCTCAAAAAAACAGCTCGTTATTGTGTCGCTGATGTGGTTCAAGACACGACTCAGTTAAATATGAGTGTTCTCTCTGTGACAGAGGGGTGTTCTGCTGATGGTGAGTCTGTTCTGTGTTTCTGTCGTGTTGGAGATGGTTCATATTAAACTTTTCAGAGATTATACGTCTGCAGGTCGTACACACAGACACATGTTTATATGAATGGACAAATATTCTAGACTCTTAGTGTTTTGGTGGTGAATTACTTCACGGTGCACAGAACTACATCAGAGTATCAGTGTTTTCAGGTGTCCTCACAGTGCCGGATCAGATCTGTACTCAGATGAATTCGTAGGAGTTGGAGGCACCAGATCGTTCCATCTCTGGAGCCGTTTTCTATCAGATTAGTGTTTAATCACTAACACTGCATCCACAATGAAAACAACTCGAATACAAACTAGTGTGGACGGGGTCTCTGACACCCATGTACATTTTGTTATAATTTGGACATTTTAAATCACAATATTGATCTAGAATGACTTAATAAAAGAAACAAGTGCGCTGAGTTCCTCGTTAGAAAACTGTGGTGTCCAATGGGAACTGACGTGGCCATAAATGTCAGGATGACAAATCCTCCTAAAGCCTAAAGCAATCACTGATACCCAATTTTGTTGCTTAAAGTCTGGTGTTCTACCGTCTGAGCATTATTATTATTTAGGTCTGGTTTATGGCCACTTGCTTTGCAACGATTCATCTTATAAATACAATTTGGGTTTCTTTGAAAAGTAGCTGTGGTCTGTTCTTGTATCATGAAAGTTTGGCTTTATCAATGTTTCATGTTTGTAATCATTTAAGAAACAATTGAGAAGTTCATTGTCGTGCTAGAAGACTTCACTCCGAGCTCCACGGTTTATTACCTACATCCAGTGATTATTTCCAACTGTTCTTGTTGTTACAAATGTAGAAACACCTGAACAGGGACTTGAACCCCGGACCCTCAGATTAAAAGTCTGATGCTCTACCGACTGAGCTACCCAGGCTCTCTTTCTTTTGTAGTCTTGTTCTTGTAAATCTAGAATTGCCTGAACAGGGACTTGAACCATGGATCTTCAGATTAGAAGGTAGGTGCAGTTGTGTAAATCCTGAACAGCAACATGAAGCTGAAGCACAGCAAACACCATGTCTGCCAAAACCCGGGACTTGAACCAGGGATCCTTTAGATCTTCAGTCTAACGCTCTCCCAACTGAGCTATTTCAGCACAGATTACTGAAATCATAGCTAGTGCACATATACAGCTCTACACATCACACTAGAGTTTTTTTTTTTTTTTGTTTTTTTTTTTTCACATTTGGATCAAAAAGACGACACATCCTACGAGTATCACCCATGAAGAACATCAAACTGGAGAAGGAAGTGTGTACGTCACAGTGGGCGTGAACCGGAGGAACTGAAAACAGAGGTAGATCAGAGTAATGACGTCTTAAATACAGGAGAATAAAGATGACTCAAACATGAATCACTTCCAAATACAACTTCAGAGGGTTAATGAGGAGGAGAAACAAGTAGAAAACGGTGGATTTTACAGAAGAGGTCGGCTTTAAGACAGTTCCAATAACCCTCATTAACCTTTTCCTGTTAGATCACACCTTCACACGTTCGTACTGTAAAAGCTCGGGTTGACATCCGGACGGCTTTTTGACTTTTTGGTTTTGATATTTTTCTTTCAGAGCTCCATTTCCTGCCAGTGGAACCCGACACTTCATCCTTCAGCTGCTTTTTTCCTCTTCTGTTTCGTTTCTTCTTTCGTGATACCAGAAAAATACTCACTGCAGTGGAGTATAATTTAACTTTGATATAAAAAAAGAACGAGTGAAAACTGCAGAGTGGAGGACTAAAGTTTAACAGCTCAAACAGAACTCAAGATTTTTAGAGAAGGAGCTTTGAACCTGTTACGTAAAGGTCTGCTTGTCTCTCTCAATGTTCCACGGTTTGGCATTAAAGGTCCTCCATACCTCAAATCTGAAATATGCCCCTGACACTGTTGGATTACATGGTGGTATTTTTCGGTTTTCACTTTTTTTTTTTTTTTTTTTTGGTAATTCCACTCATTGCCAGACTCTAAACCAGGTCTAAACCCAGGTCCAAACCAGGTCTAAACCAGGTCTAAACCAGGTGTAAAACCAGGTATAAACTAAGTCTAAACTAGGATTAAACCAGGACCAAATCCAGGTCCAAAACAGGTCTAACCAGGACTAAACCAAGACTAAACCAAGACTAAACCAGGTCTAAACCAGGACTAAACCAAGACTAAACCAAGACTAAACCAGGTCTAAACCAGGACTAAACCAAGACTAAACCAGGTCTAAATCAGGTGTAAAACCAGGACTAAACCAGGACTAAATCAGGACTAAACCAGGTCTAAACCAGGTCTAAACCAAGACTAAACCAAGACTAAACCAGGTCTAAATCAGGTGTAAAACCAGGACTAAACCAGGACTAAATCAGGACTAAAACCAGGTCTAAACCAGGTCTAAACCAAGACTAAACCAAGACTTATCCAGATCTAAACCAAGACTAATCCAGGTCTAAACCAGGACCAAAACCAGGTCTAAACTAGGTCTCAAACAGGATTTAACAGGACTAAATCCTGCTGCGTGGACGTGTCTTCTCGTCTTCTATCAATAATATTTTTAATACGGTTCAGTAAAGTCTGGGCTTTTTATTTTCCTCGTCTTTGTTTCTCTACAGCAAATCAAGTAATCCAAAGTATTCAGATTACATTACTCACTTTAAGTAATTTAATGGATTCTGTTACAAACTACATTTTGGGGTATGTAATCTGTAATCTGTAGGGGATTACATTTTAAAAGTCACCTTCACAACACTGGCCCCTGACATGTCTGTGCAATTGCCCCTGAGACCTGTCCTGGGTCAGACCTGGTTTAGTCCTGGTTTAGTACTTGTTTCAATCTGATTTAGACCTGATTTAGTCCCGGTTTAATCCTAGTTTAGTCCTGGTCTAGACCTGGTTTAGTTCTTGTTTACACCTGGTTTAGTTCTGGTTTCAACCTAATTTAGTCCCGGTTTAGACCTGCTTTAAATCCCGGTTTAGCCCTGGTTTAGTACTTGTTTGGACCTTGTTTAGTTTTTGTTTCAGCCTGATTTAGACCTGGTTTAGTCCTGGTTCAGACCTGCTTTAAATCCTGGTTTAGTACTTGTTTACACCTGGTTTAGTCCTGGTTTAGTTCTTTTTTTACATGTGGTTTAGTCCTGATTTCAACCTGGTTTAGTCCTGATTTAGTCCTGGTTTAAATCCTAGTTTAATCCTGGTTTAGTCCTGGTTTAGACCTGCTTTAAATCCTAGTTTAATCCTGGTTTAGTTCTGGTTTAGACCTGGTTTCAACCTAATTTAGACCTGGTTTAGTCCTGGATTAAATCTGTTTTAAATCCTGGTTTAGTCCTGGATTAAATCTGTTTTAAATCCTGGTTTAGTCCTGGATTAAATCTGTTTTAAATCCTGGTTTAGTCCTGGATTAGTACTTGTTTAGACCTCGTTTACTTTTTGTTTCAGCCTGATTTAGTCCTGGTTTAATCCTAGTTTAGTCCTGACTCAATATTGATTCAGTCCTCATTAAGACTTGGTTTAGATCTGTCCCAGTTTGGACCTAGATAAGTCCTGGTTTAGTTCTAGTTTAGATCTGGTTTGAGTCTGATCTAGTCCTGGTTTAGAACTATTTTGACACATTTTTGATAAATCAGATGTTACGTCCCGACATTTATTCTTTTCCCAAATACTTTTTACTCTTACTTGAGTCATTTCTTGGACCATTACTTTGTACTTCTACTTGAGTAATATTATTTTGTACTGTTACTGAACAGTCAGAACGTTAACATCGGTGCTGAGATGGTTGAAGTTCCTCTCGCGCCCTCTGCACGTGTACACTGTGATGGGTAATTGTCGTTTTCTACATTTACATTCTTCTCTCCACACTGAAGAGAAACGCCAATGAAGACACGCTCGCCTCTGTCACTCTGTTGCCATGGAAACAGCTGTGTGCCGCGTGGAGAGAACACGGCTGACATGTGTAACACCTGAACCCAAGGACAGAGTCAATATTATGACCTTTAATCATGTCTCTTCACAGCTTCACACAGCTCCAAACAGCTTCTCACAGCTCAGAACAGCTCCGCATAGCTCCACATAGCTTCACACAGCTTCACACAGCTACGAACAACTTCTCACAGCTCCTCACAGCTTGTAACAATTAAAAACAGCTTCTGATAGCTTGTAACAGCTTGTAACAACTCCTCACAGGTCCTCATAGCTCCACACACCTCCGTACAGCTCCATACTGCTTCACACAGCTACAAACAGCTTCTCACAGCTCAGAACAGCTCCTCACAGGTCCTCACAGCTCCACACAGGACCTCACAGCTCCTCACAGCTCCTCACAGGTCCTCACAGCTCCACACAGGTCCTCACAGGTCCTCACAGCTCCATCACAGGTCCTCACAGCTCCACACAGGTCCTCACAGGTCCTCACAGCTCCACACAGGTCCTCACAGCTCACAGGTCCTCACAGGTCCTCACAGCTCCACACAGGACCTTACAGCTCCTCACAGCTCCACACAGGTCCTCACAGGTCCTCACAGCTCCACACAGGTCCTCACAGCTCCTCACACGTCCACACGGGTCCTCACAGCTCCTCACAGGTCCACACAGCTCCTCATAGCTCTTCACAGCCCCACACAGGTCCTCACATCTCCACACAGTTCTTCACAGTGCCTCACAGCTCCACAAAAATCCTCAGTGCTCCTCAGAACTCCTCACAGCTCCACACAGGTCCTCACAGCTCCACACAGGTCTTTACAGCTCCTCACAGCTCTTCACAGGTCCTCACAGGTCCTCACAGCTCCACACAGGTCCTTACAGCTCCTCCCAGCTCTTCACACGTCCACACAGGTCCTCACAGCTCCTCACAGCTTCTCACAGCTCCACACGGGTCCTCACAGCTCCTCACAGCTTCTCACAGCTCAACACGGGTCCTCACAGCTTCTCCAAGCTCCACATGGCTCCTCACAGGTCCACACGGGTCCTTACAGCTTGTCACAGGTCCTCACAGTTCCTCACAGCTCCTCATAGCTCCACACACCTCCATAAAACTCCACACAGCTCCTCACAGCTCCTCGCAGCTTCTCACAGCGTCTAACAGCTTGTAGCAACTCCTTATAGTTCCTCATAGCTCCTCACAGGTCCTCACAGCTCCACACAGGTCCTCACAGCTCCACACAGTGCCTAACAGCCCTCCACACAGCTCCTCATAGCTCTTCACAGCCCCACACAGGTCCTCACATCTCCACACAGTTCTTCACAGTGCCTCACAGCTCACTCCTCACAGCTCCTCACACAGGTCCTCACACACAGGTCTCACACACAGTTCACAGAGACAGTCCTCAAGTCCTGGGACCCTCTTGCCGTGAGGTGAGAGTGGTAGGAACAAATGAGACAGATTAAAATTCTTCTCCTTTTCGTGGTTTGAAAATGAGGTGTCCCTGTGTCCTATCGATTTGAGCTACTCATCCATTTGAGCTCCCTAGTGTTACAGCCTATGAGCACAACCCCCAGCGCTGTCACAGTTTAAATACCGTCGATTTGAGCTCCTGAGGCACAAGTGGAGTAACAAGTCAAAGTAAAAGTGTTTTGGTTTTATTGTGTGTTTGGACCAGTTAAACATCGACGTGTGTGTTCAATTTGCAGCAGAATATTTTAGATGATTGAATAGTTTGGATTTAATATTTGATGTTATAGTTATTTTCATTACATTATATTTTATTTTGTTTCCAAAGAATCAGCTTGTCAAACTGGGGAGGTCAGGGTTTGGTTTTATTGGATCCTTCCAACTGTAAACGGAAAAAAAAGTATCTTATTTCGACGGGGCAGCGTGAATCAATAGACGTCACTGTCGATTTAGGCTGCAGGAGCTCGTTTCATCAGAACACAAACCTGTCCATGTGTCTGTCCAACTGTTTCACCTGATCTCACCTCAAATCTGAACTCTGCACCTGTCCTGTCTGTGCACCTGTCCTGTCTGTGCACCTGTCCTGTCTGTGCACCTGTCCTGTCTGTGCACCTGCCCCTGAGACCTGTCAAACTAGGTTTAGACCTGGTTTAGTACTGTTCAAGACCTGGGTAAGACCTGGTTTAGTCCCAGTTTGGTTCAGACCTGATTTAGACCTGGTTCAGTCCTGGTTTTGTTC